TTTCCCTAAAAATTTGTTCTCAATCATGTAATACAGCTAACAGCCATTAGATGTCTCCCTTGTTATTAATTTTAAAACGACAAAACAAGAACACCCAGTTGTTGATAACATACAAGTTATTAACTAAAGCTTTTTAAAAAAATAAATCTATACTAACACTGCTACTTTCTCAAAAAAAAATATCATTTATAAGTGTAGAGGGGAAAAAAGCATATCTCCTCCTTCATCCCCAAGTTTCACCATTTCTGGAAGCTGTAACTCCTACTGCAAAGTAACCGCTGTCATTAAGCAGTATCTCCAACCAGGCACCTCTGATATTCCCCATGGGTTTACCCATGTGCACTATGTGCAGAACATACTTGACACCAAATTATCACCTATTAAAGATCAAGGAAAAAAGAGATCTAAGCCCCTTAACAATAGGATAGGAAATATATAGGGAACATAGGAAAAAAAATTATGCAACCATTATGAAATCATGGGATAAAACAGGGAAAGCAGAATCTAGAGAATCCCCAAAGGTTTTTTTGCTCACATGCTAATGATTAGTACTGTCTTTCTTTCCCAGATGAAAAGAGCCAGCAGGTGTTACATGTTTCCTTAGCATTAAAAACAGAAAGAAAAATACAACTAAGATTCATGAACATTGCACTAAAAGCTCCTAGTATCAAAAACAATCCACTGAGTTTCCCAGTGTTCTCAATTTTTTTCAAATTTGAATCTCCAAATCAATTAATTCTGCTTACTTAACTTCAGCCATAGCCTTCAGAATATTGTTCGTATATTCCTTCAGAACAGCATGAAGACATACCTGTAAATAAACTTTTTTTGCACCAGGAATATAATCTGCAACTCGGCCGAAGATCAATCTGCCAACTCCTGAAGTAATGCCCAGGCACAGCAGAAGCACTTCTTCTGGCACACTGTCACCAAATCTGTCTTTCACATGCTTCATCTGTTTAAAAAGAGGGTGGAGAAAATAAACCAGCTTTAGAGTTAAAAGGAAGGGACACCTTAGGAAACCTGACTTAAGTAGAAGTAATCTGTGAAACTCAGACTTACAAATATGGCTAAAAATGGCCAACTACCTTACTCTGCTTTTACAGATTTAAGAATAAGTTTTGCACTAGGTTATCTGTATTAACTGCAATACAATGAACAAAAAAAAAAAACACCTCAATCTGAGATGTGTTGTTGCTTTATTCACAACTAAGGAACGTAATTAATAAAAACAACAAGGCTGAGTCTAACACCAAGAAAACTGATGAGAAGCTACAAGTGTTCTCCCCTACCACACGTAATTTGCTAGTCATAGTTTTAACATAACACAAGCAGCAGCACTAAAACCAGAATCACTAAACTTTGTGTCCAGAAGAGACAGGCTGGATCATTCTGTTACTAAGTAACAAGTTTAGAAAGCAAAATGTCTTTCTATTCCACAAGGACTGTCTAGAAGCAGTTGCTCCACTGTCTGGGGCACGCTCTCACGCCTGGAGGCTCTGTGAGATTAAGGAGCATCACCACAGTGCTCTCTGCGTCAGTGTGGAGAGAGATGCTGGCAGACTTGTAGGGAAGTTCAGGGCAGGAGCAAGAAACAGAGGGTCAGAACGCTGGAGGTCAGACAGTGCAAGGAGGAGGGGGGGGCCCGTCAGGCTGCCTCATCCCCACATCCACCACCACTTCGACATCCAGGGCAAGGAGGAAGAGGAGCAGGAAGCACCTGCAGTGCCAAACACAACAGCAAGCGCTGCCAGGAGAGGGTGCAGCAACAGCACCCACGGACAGGGCAGGCTGGCAGCATGCTTCATAGGCCACTTCATCCCCAACAACTAAAGCCACTGCCAGAGCCTCCTGAAGGTGAGCCATCAGCTACAACATGATGAACTACCTGTGTCAGTAATTCCAACCTTTCACATCAGGGTAAAAAGAAAAAAGACACAGGATGGATCTGACTGGTTTTATATTCATTCTGTTTCCCCAGTAGTTTGTTTGCAGATTGTGTCTTTTTTTTTAAAATCAACCATGAAAAACAGAAGTCACCTGTAAAAGACCTTTTCTGCAATCACTTTTTGAAACATGCTTGGCAATACCAAATATGCCAAAGTGGGCATTAGAAGATGAAGAAATCATTTGCATAGTCCTGTGACCTCTGTGTTCATAACTAGTTCTGACCAAGAAATTGTAAAGATTCAGCAGGTGTGAAGATGCAAATAGAAGAAATGGATTTTAATTAAAGATGTAGTAAAAATATTTGAGAGTCAAGTTGACCACAGGCTGACAGACCTTGATAGAAAAAGCTGATAACCAAATAACCAATTTTTGTTATTAATTCTGATTATGTGATACCACTTCAAACTAGAGAACACTTAATTTCCTACCTATAAAATGGAGAGGTTGAGTTTTAGTGAATACTTCAAGAATAAAATAGTCAAGATCATTTCCTGGCCAGAGGGTTAATACACAAGCAGAGCAGTTTTTTCCAACATATACAGGATTTGCTGAGTGATGGTGATTTTCTTGAGTATAAAATCAGTTAGGTTTTGTTTACATGGCACAGAAAGTCAGTTAAATCTAATATTACTTTGTCCAATATAATTGTCAGAAAGAAAACAGAAAAGAAGGATTAGTGGTTTTGTTTTTGAAGAATATCTTCTAGCTTCAGATTGGACAGATATTTGCTCTTTCTAGTTTTGATTTTTTTTTTCTTTGCTTTTTGAGACACATTCGGGAACAGAATCTGATTAAATTTTTCATCAGGAATTATATTTAAACATGAAAAGATAAGTTGTTCTATTTATTCCTTCTGTCAAAGGTGAGAATAAATGCTGACAGTTTTCCCACTCCTGCCTTTATGTTCCTGTCAACAGCTGCTGGCCCAGGCAGCAAGAGAAGCCAAGGTATTTTCTGCCATTCTTGCCACCTGTCCTGTTTCTGCAGCCTCTAGCTTGTTTAATTAGCAGGCCTGATTCATCCAGCTTTTCAAGAGGCAAGATAAAGCTCTACATCTAGATAACTATTAACCCTGCATCTGCAACTGAGTAACTGGGTTTCTCAAAGCAGCGCTCTTGAGGGTGAAATGCTGTCTTCTTGCAGAGCATTGGGGAAAACACTGGATTCTTCAACTCCTTAACCAGAAAAATAACTGCTACTCATCCCAATCTTCAAATATCTAACATTAGTATTTATTTTTTAGCTTTCAGTCCCCGTAAGCACACCATAACCTTAAAGAGAGCTTCCAACTAGATGCAAGGAGAAAGCTTTTCCCCAGGAGGGCAGTGGTGCAGGCTGCCCAGAGAGCTTGTTCAGTCTCCTTCTTCCTTAGAGGTTTCCCAGACCCAAGTGCACAAAGCCCTGAGCAACCTGGTCTGATCTCAGCTCTGATCCTGCACAGTGTATTTGATCTTCAGTGATGCAGTCACTAAGTAAGCTGTAACAGCAGTATTATTAACTGAGTACCTGAAAATACGACTCAGGATTAGTTTAGTACTTAAGTGCTAACTCATGGACTTAGAGGCATTTGTTATGTCTGTAGGTTAAATACATTTATTTACTTCGATGAATTAGCTTAAATGAAATTCAGATTTCCACAGATTTGTAGCTGATAGAACTACCCAAAAATCCCATGCTAGGCAATTACTTGTGAACCTTCATCATGCAGCATCTCATGCATTAACAGTCTTGTCATTGCAAAACCACACAGGCTGTAATTATATGACACTTTAGGCATTACCAACAGCACTCAGCAGACACCAAAGGCCACAGCACTTCCCTACGGGTTTCATCTTTCTCACTAACAGTGCTAGCTCTTCACTCAGAGCTCTGTGCATGAGGAATTGCAGGTCTGAATTTTCTATGTGTAGAAAAGGCCTGTAACTTTGCCTGAGACAATCAGCACAAGATTCTTCTAGACTAGCTGGCTTCTTTATCATTTTAAAATAAGTTATCTTTGTACAAACCAATTTTCCAAACCAAGAGAGACAGTGGACAGCCTAACTGAATGCACATCCCTGCCATCAGCTTTTTATGTTATACCCTTGCTCTCTGTGATCAAGGTAATGCATACAAACATGTCTTACTGTCCAAATTCTCATTACTGTTAGGATGAGACTAGAACAAGCCACCTGGTAGTGGCTGGAGTGCTTTCAGTTACACTCTCTTGACCAAACTCTCTCCATTCAACCAAGACCCAAACTTTGCCAAGACCTTCCATTCAATGCACACACTTTTCAGCTATATTCATGCCCTGAATCAAAAGGTAGAGAAATCTGAGCACAGCTCTTGTTCCTTTTTCCAAACACAAAGAACCTGAATCCAAAAGGAAGGGTAATGAACAAGTGAGAAATAATTATTTTGCTGCTAACTGCTTTCCTCCTGTGTATATTCCATTTTGGGAATTCCCAATCAAGTAAAGCTTTAAACAGGCTAAACACAATCTTTCCCACCAAAAGAGACTGCCAGCAGCAATAAGTAGCCTAGAAAAGTTTGAGCACATAAAACCCAGCATTTTCTTCAAGTCCTGATGTCTGACATCATCCTTACACTGGTTCTGAAAGAAAAAAAAAAAAAATGAATGTTTACAGAGTGCTGCTGGTACCATTTGTAAACTGGGAGACACTGTTCCTAACTGCTCCAAATTAACAGTTTTCTGAAGGAGCTGAGGGAGGTTCTTTCAGTTTTAATTTTTTCCTTCCCAGGCAGGGAAAGAAGGAAAACCTAGACAAATTTTTCATTTTTCATGCTTTCCAGAAATATGTGAGCTCTACAGAAATCCAGGCAAAGTTATCATTCCTTGGAATGCAAAGTGGTGAGCTGTGCCTGTAAGTAACAAAGATGAAGTTTTGCATTAGGTGTCAGATGAGTCTAAAACAATCTTAGAGGCAAAAACTATGATCAGAGACTGAACTGATCATAGGGCTCATGGTATGGAATCTGCCCTGAGGCAATAAGCACTTGTAATATCCCAAACTGCTTTATTAATATTGTTTTTCCAGTACTAATTTGCCCTCTTCGCCATGCAACAATTTTAAATCCAGACACCAAAAATAATTACAGACTTGTATAATGTTATCTAAGCATGGCAATACCTCCATAATGTATTGATTTATTTCTGCCATGGCCTTCAAAAACCCGTTAAGTATCATTAGAAGACAGGAAGGCCTTGTCATTCCATCACTCAGATTTTCTTTTGCCCAAGCTGTAAGTGCAAGAAAGTCAAAAGACAAAGATTAAGTGTATGCCCAAGCAAGGATATTAGCAACTGACAGGACACAAATGGATTGTGTATATATAGAAAAGTTACACTGATGCTCACCTTCAAGACTAGAGTTAGATCGTCTGAATTTCAGAAAACTAAAAGCTTAGTTTTATTCCGCACGTCTCCCGAGAAAAGAACAACCTTGCTGGTGATGTACAGATCTTTCTGTACTGCTAGTGCTATCACACAGCAGCCTTCCTTCAGTGAACAAGTCAAACACATGCCTGAACCCACTGGCTCCTTCAAAGGCCTAGAGAAAAAGAATCTTTATCAAGGCACCGGCTAATATCAAGAACTTTGCAGTGAACTGCCCTGGAAGATTCAAAGTTTCAGGGTGTGCTGAAAAACAGAACATGATGTAACTCTGGGCAAATCACTCTTTATTCTCTAATGTAAGGACTCACCACAAAAATTATTGGGGGGGAACAGAGAAAAATTTGCTTGCCAGAGAACTATATGATACTAGATATAAGGAAGACAGTTTAATACAAATACATTTCTGGTTCAAACTCCAGAGAAACTTCTGATAGCCCAAAAACTATCAAACCAACCAGCAGCTCCTGACTCCTGAACATCTACTGAAACAATGTTCTTCATGTTAAGAGACATGAAATAGCATTACCAATACTTAATGCACATCTATTTTTAAGGGAGTGTCATCATCCTGAAATGGATACAGTAGCATTTTTTAGACATGTCTT